AATATTTATAGGTTATGTTCACTACATGTAGGAAAGGACAGAACTGCCCTTAATACTTACATGGCAAATAAAACAAATAAAAGACTGAAATAACAAGCTGTCTAAGATAACTACCAACTAACACTGACATGACTAACAAAGGTTACACATGCTGTCATACGAACACAGTGGGGACCACAGCCGTGGGGCCCACTCAGTGTTCTCTACATTAAGCATGGTGGCAGTGGGGGGAAGTTACCATTTTCTGTCTTGTTATGACCAGTATTTTTTTAATATTGAAAGACAAAGCTTTATTAAAAACAAGAATTGAATACATCCAGGAGGTGTCAAGGAAACACCTCCAACACCAAACTACAAGACTAATCAAAAGATAATACATATTTGAAATGACCAATATATGTATGAATGAAAGGGCAGACACCTAGAACTGATGCTCTTATTATCACTTTTCTTCTCTACCATAGTCTCTTCTACCATATTCCAAATCTCTCTATGTTTCTTGTTCTTGAAGTCAGCAAACAACTTGACTATCTTCTTAAATTAGAAAAGCAAGTTAATATGAAAGCAACTCTATCTTGGGTGAAGATCATACAGTTGTAGGATACTAGGATCAGAAAACTACAAAATGATTTGGAGGTTGACCAATATATGGTTTTTGCCTGAATTTAGATGCCTTTTAGATTTATTGATTGAAGATTGGTTACCAAGTTCCAGATGATCAAGAAAAGTTAGATAAAACATTGGAGGTTGTTTTGGGGTGCCTTTGTAGGTGGCAGTGTCACTATGCTCTCTCCCAATCTATTACATCAACAACAGGGAACTATTGATTTTGGGATTATCTTGGATCCTCTGAGTGAATACCCCAACTTCCTCTCTTTTCTACCAGTGGTGCCACTGGAGATTTCTCCCTAGGGTGCAATTAAGTGTTTGGATCTTCCAGTTGAATTGACCAGTATATGCTATTTGTCACCTTTGATATTCTTAGTAGGTTGTGTTGAATATCAATGCTATGCACTTATAGGGTGTTGATGAGATGTGGGACCAATCCATAAACCATAATTCCATAGCAATCTGACTGAAGGGCAAATACACTACAATAGATTTCATCCTACTGTACTTTTTCTTGAGAAGATTGGTTTCTTGCCATAATGACTTTTGACATAGAAAAATACACTATGGCATATTTCCTCCTTTGCTTCAAGTTGTGCTTACCTCCCATTTTAGCTGGTATGCTCTTGCTGTATCTAGGACTTCTAAACACATTTTAGAATCTGCTCCAAAATTTTGGCAGTTTTCATCCACAAGTAGTTCCTTTTGATGTGTAGGATCATAGATCCCATCTTGCACGACTTGGATCAGTAGCTTTTGGATCCTTTACTGCACCGGTTAGGTAACCAAGTTTACCACATCCTCCTATATAGATATGTATAGGTTGAGACCATTCCAAATGGTTTGTTCCATCTATAGTTTCATTGTAGTGATCTGTAGTCTAGGTTCCCAACTCCACTAGGAACACCTTAGAGATCTATGCCCATCTTGATTTTTACTTCATGTACAATCCATCTTACACAATAAGACACAAGTATTATTGACATACCAATTACCAAACATCAACCATACATACCAGAGAAATATTCATTTGCATCCTATAAAGTATTTGATGCGTTATTCTTCAAATTACTTCCTTGTCAAGAAGCATAAAAAAAATTATTATTTGTTATTACTTATTGAATTATTATGCTAGCACTAGAATTCAGAGAATCGATCTCTACAACTATTGAAACTTGTTTTGTCCTTTGTGGGTAAACAGGATAGGCTCATTAAATCCTAATTGTTGAATGCATGTGATGTCCTGAGAATATGATTCTAAAACTTGAAGTGGGAGCTGTGCAAACAACAAACTGACAAACTCTAGGGGATCAAATATACCAAGTTATTAACCATGTTTCTAGTGGTAAGCAACCCATCGTTTTGTGCCAAAGATTTTATACCATGTCATGTTGCCTTTCATTTGTTTAAAAATCCAATGGTAATACCCAAATAATATTTGATGTTGTCATACCTGAATGTTCTCCTTATGGTGAGGGCATATAGAATGAACAGGTGCTTCATGTCCTTCAAAATTATAAAGCTTTCGCCCATTCAAATCCCATACCTGCCATAAATGTGTTCCTTCATTTAGGAAACATAAAGGTAGAATAAAAATTCAAATGAAGTACTATTAGAGCTACCTTTCTTTTCTCACCTTTATTAGTTTATCATCTCCACAAGTTACTATACATAGTTGTTTGTTTGGATTTGGATGAGAAAATGCCAAGTCATTTACACCACCAACATGAGCATCAATCTGCCTCAGAAAATTGGCAGAGAAAGGTCAACCTGCACTTAAAATTATTTTAACATATTAGACAGGTAGTAGAAAGTTATAGCAGACCTCTAAATGTTGGCGCAAGTCATTAGGCCCATGATAAGCATACAGGTGAATCAGATGTTTGGTAAAAGCAACCCCTGTAATAAGAAAAAGAAATTGTAAGAAATAGTAAGAAGCACCTGATCATAGATGATCTCAGTAATCATACTTTTTGAGATATAAGGGTGTAATTGGGCTTAATGGGCATTTATATAACAAATACACTTTTTAGTGTAGCAGATAGACAGATCTGTCATTATGCCCCAGTGAGGGGTATTTATGTCTTTCTCCCCTCTAATGTTTAACCTAATAAAATATTGAGTGGGTTACCCATCAAGGTTCCATCATGGCTCCATGTCACACGACTGATAGATATTGATGAATCTTTCATAATGTCAGCCTGCAAAATGATATTGGTTTCATCACTTTTCCTTCATAAACACAATTAATTTCCTCAAATCGTCATATTGATAAAAATTCAATCCAAATATAGAACATAATGAAATCCAACAAGCTTATCTCCATTTTAAGGCTAAGATTGTCAGCACTCAGGCTATAGTATTAAGGATCTTGAGAGATTAAAAAAAAAAAAAATCGAATATGAAAACCATAATCCAGCTTCTTAGATTCTTTTTCCATGCATTGATCACCAAAACCAATAAATAGAAAATGCACTTTTTAAGAAAGACATTAAATTCATAAGAACTTGAGTAAAATAAACCAAGTTGTTCAACAAAAAAAAAAAACAAACAGGCACTGTTTTTTCCTTTCTAATGAAGCTTTGACTAAAAGAGGAAAAGAAAACCTGAAATGGCAACGAACAACTTGTCATCTCCCATATCTTGAACGGCTTCGAGATCAACCTCTCACGCAGACCAAGTTCCCATAGTGTAATTTCACCATTGCCAGAACCAACTATTCAAAAGATACTCCAAGTCAGGAAAAAGAATCAAAGTTTTGTGCTGGTTAGACCATACAGTAAGTTTCTAGATAGATTTACAGGGGACAAAGGAAGATCATAAAATACCAAGAAGTAATGTCTGATGAGAAGGATGGAAATCGATGCTTGTGACATTTGATCCTTGATGAATGGTGCAAGCTACTGTCCGTGGCAGATCATCCAGTGACCATGAAGTTTGTTGAAGAGGAGCTGAATATGTAACCTGAATAGAACAGAAGAGAAAGTAATTAATGACAATCAGCTGCATCAATCCATAACAACCAACAAGACAAGAAATTTCAATTGCATAATCATTAAAACCATAACATGTATGCATAGTATCTAAGAACTGCAGATGTGAAAATTCTGAGTTCTTCTCAATTACCTCATCAATGGGTTGTGCCCGCAGACGTTTCATTAGTTGTTCATGATCGGTATTTTGACAATCAACCATTCCTAAAGCATTAGGAGGTGTTCTTGGACGCTTCAAGATTGAAACTGTTACAAGGAAAATCTAGATGAAATTATAATATGTTCATGTAGAAGGACTTGAATTTGTTGCCAACAGAAGATAACACTCTGTACAAGGGTTATATGATTCTAACATATGTAAAATAAACACATAAAGTGCAGTAATTCAGAAAGGATCATATTGTTATTAATGTTGAACAGGCAATATCTCTAATTTGACAATGAAGATGGCACTGAACAGAACGGAATGGCGAAACAGAATTCATGTAGCTGACCCCATATAGTTGGGACAAGGCTCAGCCAATATCTCTAACTGAAAGGTAGATAACATTCAAAACGTTATGATAAATATCAAGCACACTTTCTACCTTTTTTAAACCAATGAAAAATACAAATTAGAACAACTTGAAAAATTAGAACATTATGATAAATATCAGGCACACTTCCTTCCAATCTCTTTTTCTGAAATTGATTTATTTTCCAAATTTTCCCTTCATATCAATCATTCAAAGGAAAAGTTGCAACTTTAAATTCTCTATTTTTTGTTGTTTATAAAATTTGTATTGCTTTTTCTATAGAAACCAACCTCAATAATAATTGCATGATATTTTGGACGTTTTTGTGACTCTTTTAGAAGATTCTAATGAAGGAGGTCTACTTACAACTATGTCAGAGAGTTCAGGGGAGGTGATTGCAATTATCAAGCTTCAAGGGAAGTTTCAACAATTGACCCTTAAAACTTACTCAAAAACAAAACCGTTCTTTATCCAAGTGATGACTAACCAATTCAATCATTAGAATCAAATTGATCAACCTATGAAATCATAATTAGATAATAAAATTTTTAAATAGAAATAAATATAGAAAATTACAAAAATGTAGAAAAATTAGACAAATTTATGATATTTTTATTTAATCAAATTAAAAAATATATATATATATATATATGTGATAAACAAGAATTATTTATAGTGATGATGAAAATGAAATACATAATCTGAAACTAACCAAAAATGAAATTATTTTCCCATTTGGTGAAGATCAATAGTTCAACTTTTGGGTCAAAAGTGTCAACCTTTAATGTCATAATTAAATAAATAAATAATACAAAATAATAAAACATAAAAACACATAAATGAAAAAAAAATACATAAATTTTACAAAAAGCATTTGGGCACATGTGTAATATCAAATATTTATCATATTAAACAAAAAATAAGTGTACATAACAGAATTATTTTTACACATATAGAAATAAAAAAAATTATAGATAAAATTGAACACATCTATAATTCTATATCTACACTACTATAAAAATATAAATAAGATTGTAGAACTTTCTTTTGACTAAAATACCCATTTTTTGAATTTAATTCATATTTAATTGTGAGGTTTAAAATGTAATTTGAACTACTATTTCTCACATCATTCAATTCCCTTTCTTTAAATCTTACATTTTTTTTTTATAAATGAACAAAAAAGATACAATAAGAACTAAGAAGATAAATCATTACAAAAAGAAGAGTTCAACCAAGTAGGTAGGTTTGTCAATGATACCCAAAATTTGTAGCCCAATATGAGGTGTTTACATAATCGGATTCGGATTTTGCAATTTGCATCTGATTAATAACAAAAAATAAAAAAATACATGAATTTTATAGAAATTTTTGGATACATTATTACTATCATTATCATCATCTAGAATTGCCACGTGCAAAGCACGTGCACACTTACTAGTGCTTTATAAAATTCCCAATCTCTCCTTTATTCTTGTACAACAGGAGTCTACAATGTTTTTTGTCTTTAGATCTTGTAGCACATCATTGTTTACCAAGTCAAGCCAACCGATCCCATGCAATTCCAAACTCCTATATCTTTGTCACAACTTCTTTAATTAACAAATCATTCAAAAAAATTTACCGACGAAAAGTTACTATTCATTTACTTTCATCTAATTTTCATAAAAAAAGGAGGCCACTACCAAATGTTGATCCTCATTATCTAGGGTCTTGGGAGGGCTAGACTGGTACAGTTGTAACCTTTTGCATTTTTAGCACAAAGTGGTCACCCTCAGACTCAAACTCAAACTCTCAATCTCACACTTTCCAGCCCAAGATTTTACTAACACCAAGCAATGCCCCCTTCTAATTTTCATCAAATAATCACTAAAAATAGCCTTCATCACTTGTCTTTAATCTCATACTGCACCAGAAGTCTTCAATCCATAATGCTAACTTGATCTACATCTCCACTCTTCTTTTTATTCTTATAAGTTTGTAAACATTTCTTCCATTCTGTTGTTCCCAGATTTAGGCTAAAGATTATTATTGCTTTTAATTTTAGATTAGCCTGATTAAGAAATAATAGCTTTTAAAAAAAAAGATAAATAATAAGGCCTAAAATCTAGGAAAAATTACATATAAGAGCTAAAATATAAATAGTAAAGATGTTTTAATTTCAATAGAATTTTTTGGTGCACAAAAGTGGATGAACTGATAAACAATCTACTCAGCTGGGTTCTATGGATAAGATCGGAGCAAGGAACAAAGCCTTTTGGTAGTTTCCAATCCACCAAAGAAAGAAAAAAGGTTGAACTGATAGGGTAGTAGAAGGGCCAAAACCTTTTTGGAACTGGAACTTCTCCTTCATTGGATACCTGAACCTCAAAGCTCATGTACATGAGATCCTTTTGCTTTGCAATCTCTCTTTTGGACAAACAAAAGAAACTAAGATCAAGGTAGTGAAGGGTAATCCCAAGCCACTCCTTAAACATTTCTAGGCCAACAAAGAAATATATTCTTTAAGTTATGTAAAACATAGATGAGGAACGAAAAAAAAAGAATAAGCATGTATCTCAAACAGATAACCCTTTTAGAACTTTTGGAGCTTTGGTCCTGTCTTGAAAACCAACTTCCACAATGTCAAGTCAAACTGCAGGAAAGAACTGACCTTGGTTAGGTGGTACAGATATTGATGATGCAGCAACAACAGCAGACTGAACAGATGATGAAGCAGTAGCATTCGCCATCCAGCCTACCAAAGCATTAGCATTGGGAGCTGCTGCAGTGGGTGGAAAGGGCTGCATCAAGTAACATCATTAGAATCCACTTGTCAGAACACCATAAGCTCAGGTACTTCATCTGAACAAATTAAAAATTCCGGGATAATTAAAATCATACCCCATGTCCCCCAAGGGGTGCATATGTGACAGGCTTTGGAACTGATGCAACTGGAAGAGTGACTGGCGTAGGAGCACGAGCCCCATTTGGAGGTGTACATGTATGGTCAGTGAATAAGGTCTTAATATCTGGGTTTGGCCTAGGATTCTTACAGAGTTGGTGCTGCCAGTTCAAACTACATAACCATGATACAATACTTTAGGAACCAAACAAACAATCATGACACTCCGAATGTTCAATAATATTTGAAATAGGAAACAATATCACATTAGGGATTATAACAATTGTTTCCAGCTTTTTAGGAGGTTTTTTTTTTCTGAAGTTCAACATAACTAACTAACTACAAAACAGAACTTCTTTTTCCAAGAGAAAAAACCGGAAGCAGCGAGAAAGGGATGTAAAGAACTCAGGCGTTAAGTTGTAAGCCAGTTAACTTGCCACAAAAAAAAACAACTATACCTTTGGTTTATTAAAGTACGCAATCTAGACGTCTTAAGAGTGGGAAAAACCAACTTATCGCGGAACAGAGGATTTGCTTCTATTAGTTTCTTAAGCTCTATCAGCATTATGTTTCGAGCTGATTTAGTATCACCATACTTGGACAATTGTTCATTTTCCCTGTTTAATACAAATAAGATACACAGAAATACAAAATAAAATGAGTCTCTTCCAGATGAAAAGTTGAGGTTAGCATACCAAATTTTCAAGTAAATTCTTTACCAACCAATATGAATCCACGGCATTTATATAACTCTTGATGATGTACTAAAAGCATAAAATCACCTGAAATTATCAAGCGTTAAGAGCTGAGTGATTTCTTTATACAATTCCTCGTTGAATGTGCAAAATACTTTCAAATCCTTCACTAATATTTCGACCGCCTTTGCTCTGTCATGTCTGAATAAATAATAAACCAAAAAAGAAAAAAAAAGAAAATCATACAAGTCACAATTGTTCAAATAAAAGGCAATTACCAAATATTTAAGCAAAAAAAATTACATACCTATCTAGCGCTTCAAGATACTTCTGCTTCCTGATCTCGAAGAATATCTTCATGGAGTATCTGTTGTCGTCAACTTTCGTAAATCCAGAAAGGTACTTCTCAACTTCGTCCCATTCGCCAGCCTGGGCTTTCTCCTCGAAGTATTTCATGTTGAAGAAAAACCCCGACTCTTGCTCGAGCCTACCTCAGAACCATCACCCAATCAGAAACAGAGGTGTAGAATGATAATAAGAAAAAGAGGAAGAGAAGAAGTCAGAAGATGAAGATTGAGCTTACTTGTGTACAGAGTCTTTAAATTTCTCCTCTTCGAGAAATTGCAGTATAAGAAATACCAACTCTCTGCTTAAAGACGACATTTTTTTCTTGTTTTTTTCTTACAAACGGAGCTCAATTTGAAGAGGAAAAGAGGGAACACAATCCTTAGAGATGCTCAGATTATAAATATCATGAAAACCTCAATTATAAGGTAGGGCTTTGATCCAGAAGGCAGGCGGAAGAGATGAAATTCTACATTGGAAATGAAGCGGAAATGCAAAATAAAATTCACAGAAGACCGCGGAAAAAGGAGCTAAAACCGAAATTTGGTAGTTTTAAGGAGGAAAGTTGCTCGTATTCCGAGAATCGTCTAGGGTTTCAGCTCCCATATTCAGCTGGAGCGAAAAGAAAACAAAAGCTGAGGAGAAGAAAAGATAAAGGAGAGAGAGAAGAGTGACTTCGTCTCACTTTCTTCGATGCGTTTTGCAGGAGTCCTTTACACACCGACTTATCATATATAAGTACGTCTACTTATCTGATAAGTCGATTGTTGGATAAGATTAGGCGAACGAGCGAGAAAAAAGCGTGGTTTTGCGGAATCGAAACAACAAACTCAAATCTAATGAATATTCTTCATAACGTCCACCACATTGCTACGGCTGTCGCTGTCGGGAGCTGACGTGGTATCGCTTTCCTCATTTAATACTCATCAATTTATCGCCATATATATTAACTTGATGTGTAACGATACATTACCATCTCAAATTACATCAGTGGGGACAGTGGCGGGGACTGAGAATTGTGTACCATGTTTTTCATCTTGCCTCGAACGCTTCAACTCCACATATGGGCTGCCAGCGGGTCGGGTCTTGTCCAGGTTTGGATAGAACTGCATCCGCTTTGATCATAAATATCAAAAGACCAGAACCGAATCAAACCTTACAGGGTCTGGAATACCCAAAAAAACTTATAGGGTCTGTAATTATAGACTTTGAATCGAACCCATCAGTTCTCCAGACAATTGGGTCAGACCTAATGGATCCATCTATAATAAATATGTTAAAAATATTTAATTTAATATATATGTCTCGGTTGGATATGAGTCGGTTTAAGACTGGATAGAATTGATTTACAACCAGAACCGACTTATGGATCAGCAACCAGAACCGGCTCAATTGATTCGAATCCATCGGATCAGAGCTAACCATTGACGGCCCTATTCACAAAAGGATTTTCTACAATCAAAAACTCTATATACAGTGTCGGTACATACTATGCAAGCAGCCAAGCACCAGCATGTGTACAGAATCTTTGCTTAGAGGAGATCTGTGATTCCCAATCTACATATTGGGAACATCTATCATATATGCATATGGATTCCTATGCTTTTTGAGTGTGTGTACAGCTTTTGCTCGCAAAGAATCTATCGCGGCTCTTGGAATTCATTGAACACGTGGGAGCTTTGTACAATTGTACTTGGAATTCATTGGAACACATGCGAGCTTTGTGCAATTGTACTTGGAATTATGTGAATCCCTCCGTTAACTTTCTCCTATCTGCTCAAAACAAAAATCACCTGGAGCGAAGACTAGAACCCCATCCACTTTGTCATATTTAAGGCTCCGTTTATTTTTTAATAAGTTATTCATCTAGGTAAATGTATTTATTCATATTATTTTATTTTTCATGTAAATAAGGCAATGACCATTTTAGTCATAAAAATCTATTATTAAAAGGGGTATTTTTGTGTCATTCAAGTATTGGCAAGTTTCTCCTAGGTGGAAAAGTTATTTACCCACCTAAGATCACTTACATGAAAAAATAAACTTTTTCATTGACCAACTTTCCCTAGTCCCCACATAAATCTAAAAAAATAACATGGGTTTCTTGGTTAATGGGAACTAAAATCCCATTGACCAACTTTCTCCCCTCTCAAAATCCAAAAAAAAAAAAAATTCATATGGTCATACCAACTGGGGTGGTTAGGAGTCATGACAGATCTAAATAGAATCTTAAACCATATGGTCACACCAAAGTTGTCTATCTAGAATTTCTCTATTCGCAAGGCTCAGTCAAGGCAACCTAACTAAATCATAGAGTTTCATTGAAAATTATGTTATATTTTCAATATAATGCTAAATTTGATGAATAAAAAAAATTAAGATTTTGGACCAAAATGCTCACCCATAAAAGGGCTCACCTATACTGAAAATCAATGTTTTAAAAATCGACCCGAAATCGGAACCATTTTGGCCACCAATTTCTGGGTCGATGGTTCAATCGCTCAGTTCAAACAAAAGGCACATTCTATAGGGGTGCAAATGGATCAGATCATGATCCGATCCAACCCAAGATTCGATCCTATTTGATCGAATTCGGATCACCCCCTATTCGATCCGATGTGTTATATTTATAAATATATATAACACACATATATATGTTATTTATTTATTTATACATATATTATTTATATTGTATTTTTTATAAATTTATTATATTATTTATTTTTTACAAATCATGTATATATATATGATGAAAATAATTAAAAAATACTTGTATTTTTTTTGTTTTTTCTTTATCTAAATTGGTATATTTTTTTGTTTAATAATTTATTGTTTTTTAAAGAAAAAAAAGTCGGATCTCAGATCCGATAGGATTCGAATTCAGATCAAGTCCTATTAGATCCGATACGTTTGCATTCCAACCATTTTGACAAAAAAAATATATAAAATATAAAATAAAAATGACCAAAACCGTTGAATGGGTCAAACAGATCAATGGTTCAACTGCATGGGTTAATGGGTCATTGACCAATTCAACAGTTTTTGGCTGAGGACTGGATTTAGGGTAAAACGGAACCAATTGCCTAAATGGTTTCAGGTCCAAATAATCCAACTGTCCAAATCAACGTTTCAAAAACATTGCTAAAAATACATTGTATTGAAAGAACTTTTAACGTTTTAATCAACCCACCGATATTAACAAAAATTATATTCAATCAAGTGGCATTTATCAAAATTAACAAGCATATTTTATTAGTCAAATCGAAGCATGGATTTTCCCATAAAAAATATAAACTGAACCAATTTTGGAGGCTTTACTTTCTTTATATTCCAAAACTCAATGATTCTTTCTCTCTTTTCTCTTCTTACTATTAATTTATCTCAAGGGAAGAGATGTTGGTAAAAATGAGTATGATTTTACCAGTCTCAAATAGGATGTAACAAGAATTCCGTTTATTTGGAAGGAGACGAATACCTCAAAAGAGATAATTCTCAATTAATAAAAGATAATTCTCATAATATTTAATTAAGAGGGAAATTACAACTTAAATAGACTCTTGAATAATAATCGATTTCTAAAAACTTAGCCCCTAAAATTAAGTAACAACTTGACCCACTCATCCCAACCTCAATTTGAAGAAACACTTCTTGCCAAGACCATGACTAACCCAAATACTAGATAAACCCACTACTCACTACTTGTGACCCATTATGCTTTTACCCAGCTCATGACACAATAACCAATTGTAGTCATATCCCCTAAGAAACTTGATCTCACTTCACACATACGATTCTTTATTTATTTACAATTAACAACCTACCTAACATCACCCCAAATATATATAAACCCACTAATGGGTATGTGATAGATTTTCTCTTCTTATTATTAATTTTATCTTTTTTATATAATATAAATTATATCTGATGAGAGTAGATTTGGCCCTTCGCTGATATCATGACACGTGGCATCTCAGAATAGCTAGACGACCCAGCTGGCGACCTACCTCCACCAACTTGATGGAGTCCTAGCTGGCGACCTCATGCACAACTCGGGCACCTCAACAAGGTGGCTAAGAGCACCAAGGCTGACCTGTGGTACATTGTCGTTATCGGTCCAAGGGACCTCGACATGAGGAATGACCTCCCTCGAGGACTTGTCAACTCGAGAGGTACAGGTGACGACCTGCGAGATGTGCTTGTTGACCTCCTCCGTGTGTGCATCCCGTCATTCTAAGGTATTCTAGAAGTTAGCTCCTACAATGAATGTTTTAAAGGAAACCAAATAAGGCACAAAGCCTGGTCTATGTGTGACACTACCTCTAAGGACTTTAAACCAGCCAGCCACATATTCCCGGAGATCTTAGACGCAGTGTGTGAAGCCCACGCAAAAGAACACCTATATAAAGGTCTCATTTCCAACCTCAGAAGGTATGCGCAATTTAGCTCTCATATTCTCATACTTACAAACAATCTAGCTCTATACAAAATTCTTTACTAACTTAAGCATCGGAGTGCCTACACCAAATAAAATACCATGGGACCTCTGATACCACTTTCTTATCATTCAACCGGCCACATAGCAAACAGACGTTCAAATTATCTTCCAGCAAGACTAGATCGCACATCATCAATATCAACATACAAATGAAGTTGTTCATAATCTGGCATAATGCATGTAAATATAACCAGGTGGTATATATTGAAAGCAATCTTGCTTTTCAGAGTCATTTTTGAAAAAAAAAAAACTATAATGCAAGAAAGACATATAATACGGAAAAAGCATATAACCAATGTCATAAAAGTGAGTTTTCATCAGGTGTTTTATTTGGTCAAAGATTTCCCAGTATTATGTTTTTTCGGCATCATAGACTTTTCCATCTATAAAATATTCGTTTGCAAGAAAAAGAAGGCATTGAGCTATGTAGTGGACAATAACAGTCTTAAAATTTCTCGCGAAAAAATAGAACAAAAATTTGCAAAACTAAATATCCCTTTGAAATCAAGATCCCCACCAAAAAATCGTGGAATTTAGCAACTGACAAAACTGTTGGCATGCCTTTCTTTCATATAACAACAAAGAAAAGAAAGAAACAGGGTTTCTTAACGAGTTATTTTTTCTTTTTTTTTTTGTATCGCGATAAATAGTCGTGATTGGATCAAAACCCAAAAGTTGTTTCTCTCCGAGAATTTATATTCATATACCTGTGAGAAAACAACACTCGACCGATAGGGTTACTTATCATATATTGATATAGTCGTGATTGGATCTACGATGCAGTTCTCAATTTCCCAGGGCTCGGCAATCAGATGAAAATTCTTTCCCGGTAGGCCCACTGAGTTGTTATTTCTGAGATCAAATCTCCTCACGTAGGGCGCCTTACACTGACCTTACATGGAGATAGGATCTGCTCCTCACACCTGGCGCCTCACGGGCACATCCTACCATGCATTGGGAACATCTTCCATACTTATTAATTATTATTCACGGGAGATGTTTTCAATGCATGGTGGATATGCATGCGAGGCGCCCATTTGTGAGGAGCATATCCTATCTCCCTTACATGCACATCACACTATACATTGAGAACATTTTCTATGTTTATACGTTATTATTTACAAAAGATATTCCCAATGTATGGTGAGATGTGCATGTGAGGTTAATGTAAGGCACCCTGTGTGAGAAACAAATCCCAATTCTTTCTTTTGAGTATCTTAGATC